CTTTCTTTCTTTCTTTCTTTCTTTCTTTATCTTTTTGATGTAGATGTTAAGCAGCAACTTTATTGCTTGTCCTCTATGCTGTCACTAGGAATGATATCTCCTCACCCCTCTGTGAGTCAAGCCTCCTGATCTTACTGGGTGTGGCCTCTGGCTTCCAGAGGTGAAGTGCTGTCATCAGGCCTCTAGTACTTCAAAGGTATATCCTTTCCACGGATATTAAAAATCCTAGCTCTGTAACAACCTCTCCTGTAATTGGCTATAAGCACGAGGTCATACACGATTGACAAAGACTTTAGCTAATACTAGATTAAAAACTTGCCACAAGAGTTACCAAAAACTAGCTCACTAGTAATAACTCATGATAGTGTCATGTATATATATTTCAAAATGTTTTATTTCCCAAAACTTTTGGTTGCCAAATCACAACTACTTATACTTTAAAAAAAATTTAATAAAAACATTGGTCATATAGGAGAAATCTCTTATAATATTAAAAGTTCTCACAGAAGTGAGTTAGGTCAGACTATTTGGAACAAATGTGATTAACATGAAAGTATGTATAGGGATGGGCAAGACTAGGTTTATGTTTGTGAATACACAAAATTCAGAGTTTATTCTTGTATTATAATTTATTTATTATGTATTTGTATTACAATTGTAAACCTATGTTTGCCCACCCCTGTCAAGTTGTATAAAGATGGATATTTTGTATTGTGAGAATTTTATATTTAAATTAGAAAAAGTAAAGTTACCACATTAAACCTATGATTTTATGGATATTAAATATATACTAATGTAAATTTAGCTAAACATATTATAAAAACATATACCAATATATAACTAGAAGTTGGTAAAATTGGAAAAAAAAAACAATAATTTTAAAAATCTAAGGTAAGTAATAATATAGGTACAAAGAAATACTTGCTAAACACATGATTAACTTACGATTCAGTATTTCTATGTCTGGTTCTATATCACCTCCCTTAAAAGAAGATTATTTATTTCACCAAAGACATACCCTAAAAATGTTGTTGGCAGCCTTATACATAATAACCCCAAACTGAAAATAACTTAAATGTGTTATGTACACATGAGATACAACAGCACAATAAAAAAGAACAAACTATTGTATTATTGTATTTATTAGAGTATGGGTGATTTTCATAGACATATTGTTGGAAAAAAGAAGCCAGACACAAAAGAGCACATACTGAATTATTCCATTTACTTCAAGTTCAAAGGAAGCAAAAATAAAATACGGTGTCAGAATTTATGGGAGTGATAAGAAATATGGATGGACTCAGTGGGGAAACCAGGGAGCCCACGGGGGGCTGGAAATCAGATAGGTCCATGCATATTAAACACTCATTGAACTGTGCATTTGAGCATTTTTACTGTATAGAATTGTACTTCATAAAAAATTAAACAGAAAGCTATGATGATGATGATGATGATGATGATCATAACAGAACAGTTGGCCAATTTGGGAGAAAAGGAACAATTCCATCTACATTCTCATTTGATGAGTAATAAAACTAAGAATCAAAGAACAAGTGGGTTGTCTAAGTGTCTGCCATAATTTAGGGCAAGAATATAAAGTTCATGACTCCTTATTCTCTATCTGAGTTTTCCGTGATACGTGCTTTCCTTTAGTCATTTTGTACCACATATTTAGACTCAGCGAAAACAATAGAATAGAGTCACAAACAACCTGGCTTTTGGTATTGGCTATAAAAAGAAAGATGGAAAATGTCAGATTTTGTGTCTTACTTCACTGAACAAGAACAACAAAGCACAATAAGTCTTGCATTTTGATTGCTGAGTTTGTCCATTTGAAAGTGTACTGGTCAGTGATGAATTGCACACATGTTAAATGAAAGAAGTATTTTAGGGAGGCCAAAAATATGGAAGCCCTGAAATGTGCCCCCTGGAAAACAGGGAGGAATTAATTGCTTTTTTTGTTGCGGTGTTATATTTGGCTGAACTAAGTTAACCTCAGTCTTCTTGGATTTGCATCAATGCTGTTTCAACTGTTCTGCTCTAAAAATTCAGATTTGCTGTTTTATAAGAGCAAGCTCCTATTTAAACATAATTAGAGAATGTGCTGGAAACAGCCTCGAGCACTAAAAGTCCAGCATGTCATAAATGTCCAGCATCAAAGAAATTCAACAAGGCAGTTACTCTGATGTGCTACCTAATAGGAAGAAAATTGGCAAACAGAAATAATTTTGGTGACCTCCAGAGACAAAGAAAGAACGCAGAAAAAATACTGAGCATATTGCATTCACCTTCTCTTCACATTTAACAGAAGGACGCTGAACATTTAGAAGCGCTAAGATCACTTCATAGTTAATTTAACACCTTGATAATATACTTCTCCTTTCAAATCATAGTTTGTCACCCCTTTACAACCTGCTTTCCTAAGATAATCAATTAGGTTGGCAATGGCAACAGATGTTAAGCTTGGAGTTTCTTTCATATGGACTTCTAAAGTCTCCAAAAATCTTAAATAATTTTTATTTTAATTTTAAATCTAACAAGACACAGATGTGGTTTGATACAGACGTAATTTATTTAGAGAGTCTGCTTTGTCATATCGAAAATAAAAGTTTGTCATCATTTGACTTTGAAGGCAAATGACAACAGACTTGAACAGTTGGAAGAGAAGGTTAAGTATTCCCAGAAAATTCTTCCAAGCACGGTGTATATGCGCTATCACGCTTGAATTGTACTGACCTTTCTCAAGGCTAAATACCCCATTGTAAATATGATTCCTTATTAGCTTAATTCTTAGACTTATTGACCTCTGTTGTAATGCACTTAGCACTTTACAATTACCATGTATAGGAGAAAAAGACGCAGGATTCTCAATTATGTAGGGAACACTTTTGGGATGTATCTCCCTCGTGGTCTCCACTGCAGGGACCTTTTTACATATTAACCTTCACTGTGCTATCCAGAGAGGCATCTTGTCAAAGTCTTTATCTCTCTCTTATATCTATATTCATTAAAACTTTGATTAATAGGAAGTTAAGATCCAAAAACCTCAATTAGCTATTTTTTTCCCTGTGTTCCACTTTTAAGAGAGAAAAGTAATTTGTTACAAGAAAAGAAAAGATAATTTCAGGGAATTATTATAAAACCTTAATTTTCATTCTCTTTTTTCAAACCAGTGAGTCTTTCTGTTTCCCTATAAACCTCCTGTTTTTCAGTCACGGTCCAGATCTGGTCCTGACCTTTGGGCACCCACGCTGCCCAGGGCACCCCTTGCCCTCTGCCCTCCTCTGTGGGCAGCTACCCGCTCTGGTTTGCGCTTCCTGGATTCTGGGCTTGAGTCATAGCTAGTGTCACCGTGATCCCACAACTGAAGTGTACAAATAATCAGCTTTCCAAGTGGTTTCCGAAAAACTCTTTGTTTTTAACCCCTTCTCCCAGACAGAGGCACAAAATCCCCATCGTTTTTTTTTGCAAGTCCTTGGCAGGTAACTCACAAACTACTTCAAAATGCGGTGTCTGTTTACGGTGGGCTTCAAACAACACTTCTATTTCAGGGTCTTTTACATTTACATAGCTCTTTGAAGTAGTCAAAACATTATCACTTTTTAAATCTTATAACAATGTCTATACAATAACTCAGACTCACTGCGAAGAAGCAACTACTGAAAACAATTTGCCCCCAAAATTTTCAGCATCTGCCAATTATGCTGAATCACTCTAAAATGACTTCCATGAGTTTACATTATTTAAAGAGAAGAGACCAAACGTTTCTGAAAAAAAAGAAACATTTTTTTTCTCCTGTCAACCATTGGTGAGTTTGTTAGAACAGTGGTGAGGAATGAAACTGGGAAAACAGTGGGCGGAGAAAGAACCTAGTATCTCATACCGCAGTGATATTTAAAAGGTACTTACTAGATGTCATAGCATGCTAGCCAACTTATTCAGTTCTTTACTTTATCTTGTATTGTTTCTTTTTATTTGTTGTAAAGGGGTGAAGGAAACTCCTCTCAATCATTTGTATCCTGAAACTGATTTCTAAGTAGTGTAGGGTGAAGAAAGGTTAACCATAAACAAAGGGGGAAAAAAGCAGGCACCCAGTGTGAAATCCTAGCAGGAAAAGATATAGGTCTTCTTAATTGTATTGAAGTTTAATCCTCAAGGCATCATCAACCAACCTGGCAAATCCAACCACCCAGCATTAAGTTCAAGGACAAACAGCAATGAATTACACAACGCCAGGCTCCTGGTAATCCAGGCAATGGTCTCTTCTAACCCCTTTGCATCTTCTCATTTCGTTTTGATACTAAATGAGGACACAAACACCTGTTCCAGCAGCAGGTGGCATTTGTTTATTATAGCTTTACCTGCTGGGTTTTAATCAGTCTGCAGCTGTAGGAACCCGCTTAAGTAACAGTTTATAGGACCAGGTTTTTACAGAGTGGCATTTTCCATGAAGAAGTAAAGTTTCATACAACACTTTTATCATACACAAAACACCATATAAGCGGCTTTTATTCCTCCAACTCTCTCCCCTAACATTTAGGACGACTAATTAGCGAATCGTTTCACACGCAGCCTTGGAAAGCTCAGCTCTCATTCTTTCTGCCTTCAGGGAGACTCTGTGTTATGGCTCTCATAACAAAACTCCTGTTTCTGAGGAAGAGAACAGCCGACCTCTCCCAGCTTGTGCACTTCTGTTTTGTAAGCCTCAGAAGGGTTGTTAAGGCAACTTCCATCTGAGAAGGGAAGAAAAAAGAAAAGAAATCAATAAGAAAAAACAACACTATGTTTGGATGAGAATAAATCTAGGTACTCACACTACATAACGACTCTTTAAAAAACACACAACGAGAGTTTAAAAATGACTTAAGTAGCACGAGGTAAAAAAATAAAGTTATGGGAAGTACATTTCCTTCTTCATGATAGAGATTTTATATAATGCAATTCTTCCTCTAGTTTTATAAGAAAGCACGTGTTTATTTCTACTTTTTTTGTTGTTTTTTTAGGGGAGAGCACAACGTAGTCCGCCACCCCCACCAGTTGTACAGTTGAGCTCCCACCTTTGGAGAACCCGCAGGGTCAGCCCACCTGGAGGGCAATGGATGAGCCTCGCCCTGGAAAATCATCTTTGTGTCACAGTATCTCTCCTGCCAGGTAAGCATTTTTCTGCTTCTCTTAAAAGAAGGTTATCATTTAACTAATATCGGTAAACATTTGTGCAATTGATGACTAGACCAATTAAAATATAGTAGTTATTCTGAACCTCTTCAGAACAGCAAGCCTCTTACTCATATTATCCTCATTGCTTATCAAAGATGCTACCCAAAGTAGACTCTAAAATCTTTGAAAAATGAGTTAGTGATTCTGCTCTCTCTCTCTCTGTCTCTCTCTCTCCCTTAAGGCCTTTGCTCTGATGCCACCTTTCTATAGAGCCCTTGTTTTATATGCAGTAACTATTATCTATGCCATTATTTTGTTTTCTTTTTTTCTTCATAGCACCTATTGCCCCCGGATAGATTACATATTTGTTCATTTGTTTATTATCTCTCCCTACATAATGTAAGTTTTGATGATTTTCTTCACTCTTTGACATCGAGGACCAAAGGACCTAGTGTATCAGGGACATTGTTAAAATACAGAGAGTGTAAAGTATATAGAATATAAAAATAAAGTTCATGAATGAATAAATAAGTGAATTAGTGAGTAAGTAGATATCATTCCAAAATGTTATGCAGAGATCTTCTGTACAGAGGTGAGATAGCTTACAAAAAAAAAAAAAAATTGTCTATTTTCTGTGCTTTAAGCAGGAAGGGGACAGGCTAGGACAAGGAGAGAGACATGTCATCCTCAGGGGTCGCACCAGTTTGCAGTCCCACCAATAGTGCGCAGGGTTCGCTTTTCTCCACATTTTCCCCAACATTTGCTATTGTTTGTCTTTCTGATGACGGCCATCCTAACGGGTGAGATGGTATTTCATGATGGTTTTGATTTGCAGATCCCTAGTGACGAATGATGTTGAGCATTTTTTCGTGTACCTGTTAGCTTTACACATATCATTCTTTTAAAAAAAAAATTGTTTTCCCTTTATTGTTGAAAGTATTACAAAGGTCCCTCTTTTTTCCCCTCACCTTTCACATCTCTTCTTTGAAAAATATCTATTCAGATATTTTCATTGATTATTTGCTTTTTTGCTTGAGTTGTGTGAATTATTTACATATTTTATATATTAGCCCTAATCAGATATGCAGTTTGCAAGTCTATTTTTTCCCTATCCCATAGGTGGTCTTTTCACTTGGCTGATTGTTTCAGAAGCTTTTCAGTTTGGTGTAGTCCCACCTGCTTATTTTTTATTTTCTTGCTTGTGCTTGAACATTTTTTTCCCCTGTGTTTTCTCTAGGAGCCTCATGGTTTTAGGCTTTACATTGACATCTTTAATGTATTTGAGATGTAAGATAGCAGTTTAGTTTCATTCTAACCTATTATTTTAAAGTAACTAAAAGATGCTGGCAAAGTTACACAGGATATGAAAAACAAAATAAACCAGAAATATTCAAATATAAAGTAGAGAATAAAAAAAAACAACACAATCTATGAAGAGTAATCTTAAGAAAAATAGTGAAGCCCTGGCCGGCCCGCGGACCAAAGAGTCAAGGGTTCGACTCCAGTCCAGGGCACGTACCTCAGTTGCAGTTCGATCCCTGGCCCTGGTCGGGGTCCTGTGGGAGGCAACCAGTTGATACGTTTCTCTCATGTGGATGCCCCCCCCACCCACTCTATCTGAACATAAATGAAAAAATATCCTTCAATGAGGATTATTTTTAAACATAGTGAAAAAACATGAGATAACACCTTGAAAGAAATAGAAAGGATTGTGAGAAGGTGGCACCTACTAATTAATACGGGCAAGGAAGGCGTCCGTATGGGCACTAGGAGTCCTCAAAGAGGAAAACCAGAATACGAGAGCAATACAAAACTAAGCTTGAGTATAATATAACTATCATAAATTTTAAAAAGAGAAAAATTGAGACATTATTCAAAAGGGCACACACAGACAAAAGAATGGGCACCATGTGTGCCTAACATCTCTACTCAGAAAAAACTAAAATCAAGATATATTATTTTAAAAAGATTGATAGACTTAGAAAAAAAAATACTTCTTGCATCTAGGCAAGAAAAGCAAGAAAAATGTATTTAATTATCTCATATTTGCAGTGTTATTTACAATAGCCAAGATAAAAAAGTAATCCAAGTGCCAATCAATAGACAATTGGATAAATAAGCAGTGGTACATATATACCATGACTACTGCTTGACCATAAAAAAGAATGAAATCTTACCATTTGCGACAGTATGGATGGACCTAGAGAATATTATGTTGCGTGAAATAAGTCAGACAGAGAAAGACAAATACCACGTGATTTCATTTACAGGTGGGATCTAAAGAACGGAGTAAACAACCAAATAAAATGGAAACAGCTCAGAGGTACAGAGAACAGACTGATGGCTGCCAGAGGGGAGGAAGTTGGGAGACTGGGTGAAAAAGACAAAGGGATTAAGAAGTGCAAATTAGTAGTTACAAACAGTCACAGGATGTGGGGTCAGGATAGGGAATGTAGTCAATAGTGGGGTAGCGGCTATCATGGTGCCAGGTGGGTGCTTGAGACTGATCAGGGGGAACGTTTTGTAAGGTGTATTATTTTCGAGCCACTGTGCTGTACACCTGAAACTAATTCAAAATAACATAGAATGACCCTGGCTGGTGTGGCTCAGTTGGTTGTGTATTGTCCTGTGTACCAAAAGGTTGCTGGTTTCATTCTCAGTCAGGACACATGGCTGGGTTGTGTGCTCAATCCCAGGTAGGGGGCGTGCAGGAGGCAGCTAATTGATGTGTTGTTCTTTCTCCCTCTCCTTTCTCTCTCTTTCTTTCTCTCTAAAAAAAATTAATTAATTAATAAGAATATTTTAAAAACTAATCCTGAATGTGAACTGTAAGTGAAACATTTTAAAAAGCAAAACCTTTCAAGAGAAAAGTATTTGATTATCCTCATGCCGTCTTTGTTGCAACTGCTACTGAAGCATGAAAGGAGGAGCAGAAGGTCCCCAAGCGAATGGTCATACCCTGTGTGGACACAGGCTTGGCCTGGATTTGTGCTACAGGCTGGGCTTGACCAATCTCCGATCTGTACTGTTGGAGCAGTTAATCAAGGAGGAATTAAGTGTGTCATTTTCTTCTGGCTCATTTTATATCTCTTGACATGTCACAAATACTAACGTCATAATATGTAGTAAGGAAAAACACCTAAATGCATTATGTTCTACATTTATCATGACATTTAAACTTCAGAGCACCCTTTTGAAGTACAGATTTAAAAAATATCCTGAGGAAATTGCAGTGCAAGAGGTTGAATAATTTGAGTAAGGGCCACATAACCAAGTGTCAGAGTCAAGATTTGAAAACAAAACACTTAATTTTCCCACTATAATATTCCTTATGCCATAAGCATATTCCTTTGGTACTTTATTTCCAAACTATTCAGAAGAATTAATTCAATACAATTTTCAACCCAGGATTTTCCCTAACTAGACTAAAAGGATGTCAGCGCTGAGTCTTTGAAAGAGGACACTGGTTTATTTTCCAACCAGGAAGAGGATTATGATTAAAAGGATCATGCTAGTGAGTCCAGAATCTTACTTCACAAGCGTTATTGATGGTAAATCTGAAACTCTGCAGCGAGACTGACTTGCAAGTCAGTCTCCAGTTGTCTCGAAGGATGTAACTAGAGCGCCGCAATGAGTTCTGTGTGCGATTTCAACATCTTGTTGTTTCGGGCTATTTCTACATTCTCTGATTGTTTTCGCAGTTATTCATTTTCCAGGGACAAAGTAAACTGTTTCTTTGTTCTTCTCTCATTATATAACAGAAGTAAAAAAAAAAAAAAAAAAAAAATAGGCATCACATTATTTTGGGTTATATACCGAAATAAGAATAGTACATGTTTAAAAGGAAAGATTTTTATTGTTCTTTTATTACTTAACAAAATAAAGCATTATAACTATGTTGTCAAAGATGTAGCCATTTTTAGGCATCTTTCTCTCTTTACTCTTACACTTTCTCCTGGGAGAACAAAGTTGTCTTGCAGGTCACTACACACTTTGCTTTGTCAAAGCAAAGGAAGATTATTAAGGATTCGTCTGACCAAGAACACTCTCATTTGGGCCATCTGTCTTTCTGTGCTTTCTTGAGGGAATACAATAAAAGGACTTTTTTCCTTTCCCCTCACTTAGTGTTTTGCCAGCCTGTGTGTGAAGCCCTATTTTGAGAATTTGAACAAGCAGAGACCCTGCCACTTTGGACAATTTGTCTTCCTTTTGTGCTTGCCATTTCAGTTGGAGAAATCACACACATTTTTCCCCCTCTAATACTATTAAGGGAAAGGCTGTCTTAAGATTGCTGCTCTCAGGGCCAATTTTGTCCTCCCATTATTGTTCTTACTTCAAGGATGTGACCTCAGGATCTATGTACACAGAAGCCTAACCTGTTAGGGGGACACACAGAATCTCAAATGACATTCACTCATCCCTCCAACAGCCAGTTGCACCTATGTACAAGTGAGATGTTTTGCCTCCTTGACAATAAATGGGAGGAAAGGAGTGAGGTTGGAAAGAAATCTTAGCATTTTATCATATCTAGGATTGCTTAAAGTTTCCTCATCTAAATAGATCTGAGAGAGGTAAAAGGACAAGTTTTTGTGGTTATTCTTTTAATAAGAAACAAAAATAGAGCTGGCCAATTTGGCTCAGTGGTTAGAGCATCACCTGCAGATCAATGAGTCATGGGTTCAGTTCTGGTCAAGGGCATGTACCTCGGTTGCGATTCCTCCCTGATCCTGGTTGGGGTCCTGCTGGAGGCAGCCAGTCCATGTGTCTCTCTCACATCGATGTTTCTCCCTCCCTCCCTATCTCTCCCTCCCTCCCTCCCTCCCTCACACTTTATCTGATGATAAATGGAAAAATGTCCTCAGGTGAGGATTAAAAAAAGAAACAAACAAAAATAGATTGACAATATAAATATGTCTGTAAGAAATTGATCAGTGTTTATTATATGTAATAAAATAACAATGGTCCCTTGTCCATATATAGTTATCGCTGATATAAGAGAAAC